ACTACAATTACGTACAGTCTAGCATTATCAAACTAAGTCTATATGCAGTTTAGTCACAGGCTGGTTTTTGGAGGATTGTCTCGAACCGGCCAAGTCTAAAAATATATTTAAAATCTTTTTTCTTAGTTTAATTTAATTTTAAATATTATTCCTTATTACTTATTATCAATTTAATATTATACTTTTGATAATATCTTTCTTTCCCTGCTCATGTATATTGCAAACCAAAAAAAAGAAAAAGATAAATAAAATAAAAATTGCATTTAATTTCAGGGAAAACGAAGAATGGGACCAGACCAACCCACAACATATGCGGGCTGATTACAGGCCTGTCTTGACAACCAAGACCCGCCAATTTCTGGCCCAGGGCCATCAGGTCTTCTCTTCTACTTGAAATTAATCAAAGGGGGCAAAATATGTACATTTCATATTTTTTAATAAAAGATATTTTTAATAGTAATTAAATTTTTTTTTATATTGCAACAATAGAGTAACTTCTAACACCAATATTTTAGCAAGAGTTGAATATAAGATGAATTTAGTCTTTATAAGCAAATTCTGCAAAATAATAATTAAACAAAAAAATACAATAAAATTTTATCATTTCAATAAATCATCAATAAAAAAGACTAAAATAGTATTCATTCATGAATGACATAATTTTTTAAAGTATTTTTACCTAATTTTTTCCATATTTAGATGACAAACACTTTTCCTTATACTATATTTCTCATATTTTCTCACAAGACTTGATTATAAGAAGATACTTACAATAGAACTAGGCCCAATGGCTTGTCTTCCTTAGTTGACAGTATTTGACGGGCGCTATATCATCATATCATGGCCAATCTAGAGGCTGAGAAGTAGAATATTGGCAAGAAATGGGTTCCTATATCTCCCCTTGTCAATTGGCCCAAATCTAAAGTCATTCTCTGTTACTTTGAACTTTGAAGCACTATCTGCATGGGACTAAAATAGGCCCCGTCCGACCCAATTCATCTCCAACTTGGATCAATTTCAACTTCCTCATCGTTGCACCTTGAATGGCCCATCATGTGAATGGCCAAAATGGGCAATGCCAAAAAGGTTGCCTATAGGCAATAAGATTCTTTAACACACAAATCTTATACACATATAACCAAAAATGACACAGTAGGTCAAAACAACTTGCCTATAACTAATAAGATTCTTTAACACACAAATTTTATACATGGGTGACCAAAAAGGCACAATAAGTCAAAACCTTACCATATATTATAAGATTGAGTTTTGATTTTTGTTTTAATTTGAAGCTACACAATAAAAGATAAATTTTTCTTATCTCCTAATCTAATTTACTTATATATCATATAATTAGAACACATAATTTCTTATTTTTATTGAAAGAATATTACTATTGGATTTTGTATAGAGTCTGGTGTACATGGGCTTTAATCCATGTTTATTTACTACATATATTTACTGTTTGGATAGGTAATAACCTTTTTATTTTTTATATTTAATTTTTTTTTAAAGAAAAGGGAAAATGTAAAACTTGGACCACTTCACTTTTTTAATGAAGACTTTATCCAAACTTTTTATTAGTTTAAAACCCTAAAGACAGAAACCACCGAAAGCGCTGATCAACAAAAACATTCTCACTACTCAGTCAAAGAACGCCATCATAACCTCAACCATGCACCCGCCGGAGAACTCTGACCTCTACCGTTTCCTCGCCGAAAACGGCATCGGATCCTACTGCTTTCCCAACAATTCCGATCAGCTTCCAATCATGCAGAGCCTCTGCAGCTCCTCCTCCTCCTTCTACCCCTTGGAGGTCTCCGGCATCACCGACACCACTCCACAGGACAAAGCTCTTGCTGCTTTGAGGAATCACAAAGAAGCTGAAAAGAGAAGAAGAGAAAGAATCAATTCCCATCTCAATAAGCTCAGAAGCCTTCTCCCTTGTAATTCCAAGGTACCTAGTCATGTATTGCATTTTTAGAGAAATGGATCCTCCAAATTTACAAATTTTTTATTTGGGAAATTTTAGTTTTTCATACTTTTTTGAGATTTGAATCATGAAATGGATCAAGGGTTTCAATTAATGTGATTTCATGGACCTTAATTTGTTTTACTAAATATTTAACATGTTTTGAGTGCTTTGCTGGTTGTTTGGCTAGTGGGAAAAGGTTTAGAAAAGAAAAAGAAAATTATATTTCTTTGTATGACCTACCATGATTACGCTTAGCACATTACATTGTATTCATTACTTAATTCTCGTTTTGTTAATCATATATACCCTTAATTTTCCCTCAGTTTCCTGGTAAACAAACAGGAGATTCCTCAGTGATTATAAGATACGGACAGTAATCAAGCTAGATCTGTCGTGATTCTGTCGGTTTTTGTGTCTGTCTTTAGCTGCTTACAGTTGTAGTAATATTTAATACAACAAAGATGTGATTCTTAAATGTTGGATCTGTCCCAAACCCTTTTGAAGCTTTTGAACGTTCAAACTGGAAGAAGTACAGTATCTGAAAAAGAAAAACCAAAGAGAAGCTTTAATGCTTTCTGGAGCAAGCATGTGTTGGGAAAGTAGAAAAACTTTTCAGAATACATTTTAGGTTTTTTTGCCAATCTTTTCCTTTTGTCATTTCTCCTTTTCTTGATTCAGTTTTCATGAATTTTTATTTTTCTCAGACAGACAAGGCTTCCCTTCTAGCAAAAGTGGTTCAACGTGTGAAGGAATTAAAACAGCAAACTCTGGAAATCTCTGAACTCGAAACCTTACCATCGGAGACTGATGAAATCACGGTGATCTCCGGGGACTATTCCCACGATGGGAGGTTGATATTCAAGGCTTCTCTATGTTGTGAAGACCGGTCGGACTTGTTACCGGAGCTCATTGAGATTCTGAAGTCTCTTCATCTTAAGACCCTGAAAGCTGAAATGGCAACATTGGGCGGAAGGATTCGGAATGTTCTGATCGTTGCAGCCGATAAAGATCATAGTATCGAGTCGGTTCATTTCTTACAAAATGCATTGAAGTCCTTGATAGAACGTTCCAACTCAAACGATCGGTCCAAAAGGAGACGGATATTAGATCAGAAAATCATGATCTAAAATAGTATATTTGACATGGCTTAACGAGGTAACATGAAGCCTAAGCAAATAATTTGTAGGAAAATGGATCTCATGGTTTGCTAGGAAACTCAACCATAGCTAAAGAGCTCTATTATTGTTTGTTTGCTAGTTACATATCCGACATGGTGTAACAAAAGGGTGGCTTGGAAGACTCTTACTATATTATGGTACTATATTCTATTTTTGGTGAGTTTGTGAGATGGGATTTATTTTTTGTAACATATACTGTATTTGGGGTTGGTGAAGACTGAAGAGTGTGATTTTCAACTTTCTACAATTTTCTAGGGTTTGTTTGGATTGCACTGTGCATGTATATCTGCATCTGGTTGTGATTTAGAGAATCTAAAAAATCAGAGGTGACAGATGAAGAAGAAGAATAGATCGATTACATTTGTGTGATTTGATTCCACTGTGTTTTCACCTATAAAGGGTAGATTTCTTCTGTGAGTTTCAAAGGTCAAAACATGGTGTAAATTATGTGCATTTTCTTTTCTTCAGAGATTCTTGCAGTTTGATTACCGAGCAAAATTTTGTTTCTGTACACTGATTCTGAAAAAAGCATGAGAGTGGAAAGATTTTGAAATTGAGATTTGAAATCTGATTACTTAAATGGAATAATGGGGACAAGAATTGTCTGCATGAGAACTGATGGTGTTCTGTGTTTAAGCTCCCAGTTCTGTGAGAGAGAAACATTCCCTCACAAGAATCAAGGACGATCTCAGCATTTTTAAGCATTAAATTTTTTTTTTTTTGGTATTTCGTTAATATTTTAACAATATTCAAAGTCATTTCCAATCTATTTATTAATGCAAATGCATAACAAGAGTACAAAAGGTAATCAAATCCGTATATAAATTGTCCCACTACAAAAAGCATCCCCGGAGGAATTTAAATCAAACATCTTTGTACCGTGGAGATCAACGGACATCCTTACCAACAAGATGAGAATTATGCCTACAGCAAGCTTGATCATGTCATGTTTAGCATGTAGTTCTTAATTAGTTTTGATCTCATTATCAAAGTTTTACATAATACCATTACAAACTTATAAATAAACTCCACTAGTTTTAATTTGTATCTGATCACGATCATGAACACTCTATAGAGAAGGGGAAAAAAAAAAAAAAACATTATCATGAAAAGGGTTGGTTTAATTTGCCCTAATTTTGAAAGAGCTGGCAAGCTAGACATAATATTTTAAAACAAACTTCTGGGTTTTTTTTCAGAAACCAATTGCAGTTTTTAATTGGCTAAAATTTAAAATTATAAAATAAAATTTTCAAAACTATATATGATTATCGAAGCTATGAAAACTTTGGTGGTGCATATAATTTTAGAAATTATTATTTTTATGATTTTTTAATTAACACTTCTACAAAAGAAATGAGCATCATTCGATACTACTTTTCTTCTAGCGTTGGATTCTGAATGTGGAGTTTGGTTGTAATGATGACTAGAACATTACCAAGACTCGAGCCTTGACACGTTAGAAATCAAACATAGGTGGTATGATTTTCAAACAAGGATGAAAGCAAGCTATGGTATGAAGTGCTAGTATTAACTAGTAATATTTTCAAATGAAATGAATTTCAATTCTTTTTTGTACAGTTAGATTATTTTTAAGTCAATTTACTCCTATCTTAAAATTAATTCTTTTTTAAAAGATTTTACGAACGCACATTTTATATCAATCTCGCACATTTTAAAACTAACTTATAAAATAATATTTATTTACTAGTAAATTTAACCTTAAAGTTATAAATCTTATGTTTTATAATTACTTATAAAACTAATTAATACATTCTCTAATTTTACACATTATATAACATACTTATTAAAAAAATTATTATTTTTTATTAAAACTTAAAAATAGATAAATTTAAAAATATAATTATATAATACACAATACAAAAATTAATTAAAATAATTATATTAATATTATATTTTAAAAGCTAAATTAAATATATTTTAAAAAAATATGCCAATTATTTTTCATATTTGCAGTGCCTTAGAATGCCAGGAGCAATGAACAGCAGATGCTCTTCCAATCAACAATATTCAACTGGGACCGCTCCATTGGTCAAAAAGACTGCTCATATGTGCAACGGCTTTTACCCTTTTAATAATAAAATACTCAGACCCGTTTTACACTTTTTGTCCACTCTTTTACACATGGTTACGGTGACAAATTTTTATTATGTTCACACCCACATACCTTAAATTTATTTAATTTTATTATTTTATAATTAATTATAATATTTAAAAATATTAACATATAAATTAATTTTAAATTATTAAACAATAAATATCAGTAATTTCATAAACTATTCGACTAACACTTTAGTTAGTAATTGTTCAACTTTGACTTCTACCCATCATGGTATGAACTCTCTCTCCTTGCCGTATTTGCAAAGAAAGAATTCCTGCACTAGTAAACAAGATTTGGCACTACTTTTTTTTTATTTTTTTATCAAGGGTAATTTTTGGAGAGAAGAGATTAAATCCAGCACATGGAGTTAGGTGGTATACACCGTTATCTAACAGCTTACAAAACCAAATGTGTGGCACTACCTTTTTTCAGTTGTAACATTGTAACATTATAATGTATGTAATGGGTCAGAATATTTTTTGTATTCTTAATAAATAAATTTATTTTATTGATAAAAAAAAATTAAGATTTAAGTTTTGTTTGCACCATCGTGTTAAGTTGCACCTATAATTATAGTGGCACCTGATGCACCTAACCTTGTTTGCAGAGCATGTGTCTGAATATTTGTAGTGTTTTCCTAATCCCTAAAAATTCTGTTTAAAAAAATGCATCACTTTTCTATGAAAAGAAATTAATTAATTAATTATTATAGAAGCTCGAAATGTTCAGCAAAATAATGGTTTTTTAACCTTTATTTTTAGAGTATATGTTAAATTATATTTTTATATTTATTATTATTAATTTAGTTTAAAAATATAAAAATAAAATTTATTTTTAATATATAATAATATTATGTGAAACAATTTAATTAAATAATTAATAAAATATAAAATCAAATTTTATTTTTACGTAAATTATTTAAAAAAAGTAAAATAAATACACTTTGAAAATTAATAACTACAAACTACAGGAATTTGAACCTAATTTCCCTAGGATTATTTTTTGAAAAAATGATTTTTTTTAAACAAAACACAGTTTATGCATAACTAATATTAAGAATACGTTTGATTTGAAGAAAATTAAGATGAAGGGGGAGCAGATAATTTCTTTTTAGTTTTTCACTTTCTATTCTTTCATTCCCTCATTTCCTCTTGATATCCTTCCATTTTCCCTTTATTTGTCTCGGGCTAAACATGTGATAAGACTCATATTCCTTTGCTAATTCATTTACAACCTTTTCCCATCCTTGTGATCTTTCCTTGTTCCATTTAGACATGGGACAATGCTCTTCGATCTCCGTAGCTCTCTCCTTATTACTAGCTATCTTCCGACATGAGACGGATGAAAATGTCAAAAGTCTTCAGTTGAAATTTTAGGGCCAATTTGGAAATTGGAAGGTTGATTGCTTCACTTTCTCCATACATTTTTTAATTTTGTAGAGACATTTAATTGTACATCTTTGAATCCAGAATGCCTCAAACTCTAACATGTCGGGGGCACAATAGAACAACTGAATTGCTTTTCATTATTCCATTGAATTTAATAAAAGTACATATTCTTTGTTTGGTGAAGCAAGTTTATTCATTTACCTTTCGCTTCCTTTTGTTGAATAGCATAGCTATGCATTTTTCTATTTGTTCACATTTAGGAACTTGACATTTTAATAATTAGTTAGTTAAAACATTAATAACAAATATCCATCTTTGAAACCAGAAGCCCCAATTGTGGTAACCCAATGGCAACTTCAGTACATATTAGATTGTTAAGACTACACAAAAACTGTTTTTTACGTTATTAAATTATTTTTTTATCTTTTTATTATTTTTAAAATTTTTTAGTATATCTGATAATAATAAGTTATATTTGAAAAAATAACCTTCTAATTTTCTTAAATCTCTCTTCACCTGACTTAAAATTCGAATTTGAGATTTTGAACTTAGAATATTAAGTTTTTAGTTATTAAGTCACTACTCCTTGGAGTTTTTATTCTTTTTAAATTGGGTGAATAAAATATAATTTAACAAAGTAAAAAGTATTTTTTATGTAGCCTCTACAATTTAATACGTGGCCATAACTGGAGTCCACAATGGCTACGCACCCTTCTATGTAAACAAGCAATGTAGTGAATGTTAATTTCAAGGATAAAAAAGTAAATTACAAAAAAAAAAAAACCTTTTGTATAGCCTTAACCGAAGTCCACAATGGCTATGCACACTTCTATGTAAGCAAGCAATGTGGTGATGCTAATTTTAGAGTTCGAATGCTATGTCATTCGCCCTCCCATGATTAATTCCCCTTTTAAAAAAATGAGTACTTCCTCTCTTTCAAAACAAACGACATTATAGAGAAGAATTTTTATTTTAAATTATTTGACATTTTGAGAAAACAATTGCACAATTAATTTTTCCTTTTCAACCTTACCCCCGCCAATTATTAAATGATAGAGAGATTATTGTTTTAAAAAAATATGTTGTAAATTTCAAAAAGAATAATTTGGAAAGTTCAGCCTTTTATATTATATTGCTGTAATAAAGTTATTAATTAATTCTCTTAATTTATATGTAATTTCTTTAAAAAATCTTATATTTATGTGTAATTTTTTTAAAAAAATTTAACTTAAGCCCTAAGATAGATTAATAATATCTTTTTGTCATAAATATATAAAGAAAAAGGTAAAATTTAACATTAACTTTAATATAAATGTCAAATGTATAAATTTAATTAAATAACTAAAAAATTAAAAATTAATTTTTATTTTTTAATACATATTTATAATAAAAATTATATTTATTATACTATTAAACTTATACTCTTCAAAAGGCATTTCCTAAAATGTATTATATTTTCAAACGGAGGGGGTACTACACATTTACAATAATTTGTTGTGTTCAAATTAAAGATTCCCATGGGATATTTTTGTTCAAATGTGAAAAAAGTGGGCAGTAGCTGACAAAAAGGAAGAATAATGGGGTTGGACAAAAAAAGGCAAAGAAGTTTTGAGTGCGAGAACACCTTTTGTTATTTTGTTTACTTTTTTCAAGTGTGTCGGAAGAACGTGCTCTTT